AGCATTTAGCCATACCCTTTAACACGAGTGTTGTATGTTGTTATTTTTTTAATCTAGATACTAAGAAGATAGATCTATATCTAGATCTATCTATTTAAAAATCCTAACATCGTTGCTGTGCTACTGTCATCGCCCGCTCTTGTTAGCGAGAAGAAAATCCCGTCTCAGTCGGCATTAATTTAAAAATCTAGCTCGTCATAAAATTACAGACCCCCCCTACGAGTGTGACGTCATTTATGGAAGAACCCAAATAACACCACCACCAAAACCAAAAAATTCAGATAAGTTCAACTTGGTTTTAAAAATATTTGAAGTAGGCCCATAGCTTACGATACAGCACGAGCAACTGATAATATCGGTGACGTCACTTTATTTTTTCCCCAAACAGTAAGTAAGAGGAAAAAAACTGGGGGCATTGAGAGTTCATAAAAGCTTAGGAATAAGCAACACATAAGGGAGGGTTAATCTAGTCCTCACCTTCACACAGGGCAGTAATCGCATACTTAATTTGATGTTATTTTTTCTGACTTATTTATGGAAATAATAAATTATATATATATATATATATATATATATATATATATATATATATATATATATATATATATATATATATATATATATATATATATATATATATATATATATATATATATATATATACATATAATTTATATATATATATATACAATTAATTAATAAATAATATAACATTTATGGGAAAATTCGGAAAAGTCACAACCGTGATATAAAGTCTAATATAAATTAGTGTAAAGGAACATTGGAAGAGAAAACACACAGTAAGTAGTTCTTACATCCAGAATAGTTGTATCCAAATGATGTAGGCATTTCTTTGTGCTTAGATTTATATGGTAAAAAAAGCTAGAAAAAAATCGTAGGCGGCGGCTATAATACAAAATTTCTATGCAACAATAGAAAATATGTTCGCGGCGGCAGCGGATCCGGGCACGGCGATCTTCAAAGAAGGTAAATCAGGCGGCCTCGGCGTTCCACACAAAAGACTTAAGTTGATCTATCGTCGGCGGTATTTCCGTCGGTTTCGAACAAGGTGGTATTCTAAGTCCACACAAAAGATGGGGGGAGTTGAAAAATCATCAGTATGTCTAGCGACGGAAAAATCGGAAGTTTTATCAATGTAAACGAAACGTCTTTGAAGCCTGGACCAAATACCACTGAAAGTCGGGTGCGGTAAATTTTTCGCAGAAATCTTCGCATTTCAACACCACCCAGCGTAAGTATCGGGTTGTGGTAAAATGCGAGACAAAAAAGTCACGTGACCGACCGTTTTCGCGCCCTTCTCGCATTTTCCCGCCTCGCCATTTCGCTTTTCGCGTCTCGCAATTTCCCCACACCCGTCTAATAGGCTACTAAATACATCTAGCGCTATTCTAGATCTATTTCTAAATTTTGGTAGATAATTTACTTTACAATACTTAACATTTAACATTTTATCGATCTTATTCTAGAATTTTTAGATCTATTTCTATATTTTATCTAGATTTAGGCTACAGTGGCAACATGACATACATAGAGCATTCAGACACACGATTTTTTTAGATAGATCTTAAGAGCTGTAGAGCAAACTATAATTTGCTTTGACATATGAGCAGAATTTGCGATTCAAGTAATAGGATTGGCAGGTTTAACAGGTTGAGAAAAAAAAAGCTAAAATCCATGGACAGTTTTATTTTATCAGTCTGCCTGGAAAAGTTAGGAAAGTGTGGGAAAAAAAAGCAAAAGAAAAACGGCAAAGAAAAAAGCAGTGATGAAAAAAAAAACATTATTTAATAATATTTAGGCCTAGGTTCAATTATATTGGGTGACGTTTTAAGTTCAAGTATAGTGTTAAAAGTGTGATGAGTAAATTAATTAATGTGACAGAAAGGTTAGCATAAGCTCAAGTCACTTGATTTTCAAAGTAAATAAACTTTATAAAAACCAGTTTATTTCTATGCATAATCCTTTATTATGTCATTAAACTATAATTGTTATATAGAAATACACTTCTTATAGAGAATATGTTTTAAAAACAACTGGGCTGTCATTTTGGCAGATCTAACTTTTGAATGGCCTTTCAATTAATTTTAATGGAGAAAATTGCTTAGAGATATGACAAATTTGACATATGAGCAATGTTATGTAATTAAATAAACTCACATCTTGAGGTACCACTTTATATCTTGTAGAGTATAGATCTAGAGTTATATAGAAGATCAACTTTTATTAGGTTATAATTTAATTAGTATTTAGTATTTGCTGCATTAATACTTAGGCAGGAAATCCCCCAGTATAGCGTTGGAAGTTATCCAGTAATGTTTGTTGAGTTTCATTTACATTAGTTACTAGTGTGAACCGTGATTTATTTTTACTGTTGAAATATAATATAGATCTACTCAATGTACTAAATTAATGTTTGAACTTTAAGTTTAATCAACACTCGGAAACAGAAATAAATAGGCCCTAGTTATAAATATAAATAATAAAGTCAAGTGTAGTAGTTAGTTTAATGTTTTTTTTTTAAGACAGAAATAAAAATCTTGCGGAGGATTTGCACTAATTAATTTAGAATTAGATCTAGATCTAGTAAAAATGATTGCGCAAATAAAAATGGCTAATAGAACAATGTTTAGTAACAGCAATAATTATCAGTAACGCTTAAAATTAATTAGCAATACAAAATGATTAGCAAACAGTATTCAACATGCAAAAAATCAATCCATCCAATTTTTTTATGTTCAATATTAAAAATAAAAGATGGCGCCAAATCAAGTATGGTTTACTGTACTTCTGGTACATTGCTATAGACTAATCTTTGTTTTATTGTTTTTTACCTGCTATACCATTCCAAAATAATAACCGACGCTAAACTGGGGTATTACAAATAGGCCTGTATATCTAACTCATTTATTATATTGCAACAATTATTAATCCAGTTGTAATAAGATATGGATAAAGATTATATTTAGATAAATATATAGAATCTAGATCTGACTAACTCTATCTATCCAGTCTACAAAATCACCACACCTGCAAAATTTTATAATATTAAGAAACCAAGTGAGAGAAATTAATTAGTTTAGAATAGAGCATACACTGTTAATCTAGATTTGTTAACACATGTAATCCTATATTCTAAAGTTATGAAGGTATATAATAGTATGCATGTCTTTTTATCAAGGTGTATGAAGGAGAAACATATGGACAGTGGAATCACCCATCAATAGGGCTATAAAGACATAATTTTGTTATTCAAAGGATAGAAACATATGGACAGTGGAATCACCCATCAATAGGGCTATAAAGACATAATTTTGTTATTCAAAGGATAGAAACATATGGACAGTAGAATAACCCATCAATAGGGCTATAAAGACATAATTTTGTTATTCAAAGGATAGAAACATATGGACAGTGGAATCACCCATCAATAGGTCTATGAAGACATAATTTTGTTATTTAAAGGATCCAATTAAAAAGCTAATTGAGGTTTGTGCTGAAGCCTGCATTTTTTTTATTCATTCAATAGAATTTGATCTAGCATATTAAAAGACCAAATTTTTTAAAGTCAACTTTGATTACGTCTTAGAAAACGTATTTACAATTTAGTCAATAAGTTTTTATCTCTTTTGTAGGTTTAAATTTCAGAATCACATTAAGATGTGCTTGAAACTGAATTTTTTCCATTATTTCGCATTTAAAATACTTTTTTATAAATTGTAATAGAAGATATAAACTAAGCTTCAATAGGTTGAAGGTGTTTTAGTATAAAATCTCTTTATAAAACAAAATTACAAGGTTGATGTGTGATATCATTTTAAGGGGGGAAGGGGGGGGGGAATCTGGCATGAAAGGCAATTGATAGATGGCAGATAAATATTAAAAATGTGAGACAATTAAAAGCCACATTTTAAACATTTTAAAGATGACATTAGCTAAAACTAAAACATTATTTATAGAAGAAAAGCACAAGTAATGTGAGTTTTAAGATTATTTACTTGATATTGTTATGAAAATAATTTTATTGTATATAGCTTCTTCTTTTTCTGTGTTATTATTTGAGTTTATCTAGCTGATAACTAAGTGAAAAAAAAAACAAATTGACAAAAAAGTAATAAAGCTTTTATGAAAAAGGCATAGTTTGAGAATGTGCTAAGCTATTTTTTGTACCAGTTAAAAAGAATTCAAATTTGATATAGATCGATGTAAATATTTTTTTATGTAGGCTACTATCTGATGTAACCGTTATTTAGAGCAAAACAATTGTGTAATTGTAATTTACTGTGATACAATGTAATGGTGGATGAAGTAGAGTTGAGCTGATTCAACTCCAGTTTAGTTCTTTGACCAGATTATGTTATTCAGCACCTCACCAAACTGTCTTCACATCACCAGATTATGCTAGTCAGCACCTCACCAAACTGTCTTCACATCACCAGATTATGTTAGTCAGCACCTCACCAAACTGTATTCACATCACCAGATTATGTTAGTCAGCACCTCACCAAACTGTCTTCACATCACCAGATTATGTTAGTCAGCACCTCACCAAACTGTCTTCACATCACCAGATTATGTTAGTCAGCACCTCACCAAACTGTCTTCACATCACCAGATTATGTTAGTCAGCACCACACCAAACTGTCTTCACATCACCAGATTATGTTAGTCAGCACCTCACCAAACTGTCTTCACATCACCAGATTATGTTAGTCAGCACCTCACCAAACTGTATTCACATCACCAGATTATGTTAGTCAGCACCTCACCAAACTGTCTTCACATCACCAGATTATGTTAGTCAGCACCACACCAAACTGTCTTCACATCACCAGATTATGTTAGTCAGCACCTCACCAAACTGTCTTCACATCACTATAATAAAATCTGGAACTCATCCTTAAGGTTGACTTAAATGATGACAAGTTTTGTAACAAAATCATAAAATGTAAGTTTATTTTACAATAATTTTTTTATTGCAGGTAAAGTTGTCAGAGATGGGAAATACAGGTGGAAAGAAAAGAGAAACTTGGTTGGCAGAGAAAGGTAAAATAAATGTTTCTAGGCAACATGTTTTGTATTTGCTGTAAATGTTTAGAACATCGCAGTTGTTTTACAAATAGAGAAATGTTTTATTTACTGGTATAGGTTTGTGTTTAATCTAATTAAAACCTTGATGTTCAAATGTTTTATTTACTGGTATAGGTTTTTGTTTAATCTAATTGAAAGCTTGGTGTTAAATTGTTTTAGGTCTAACACATAGACAAGATGAGACAACACAGCTGGAAGAAAGACAAGATGAGACAACACAGTTGGAAGAAAAAAAACTGAAGCTGGTTTTATACCAGGTGAGTCTCTGATTGTGTAAAATATATATGCAAAATGTAAGAACTTACATTTATACAGAGTTTCTGGCACATAATTACATTATTTACATACTCCTTATGATGCATGAGTTCTCTTACTGAGTCTGTTAAAAACAGATGGTTAGTTAAATGGTCATTTGGCAGGCAATATATACCACATGATACATGTAAACTCTACTTCATCTGCTTCAGCTAATAAAATAAATAGAAATAACAAGTTTCTGTTAATTATTATAGTTGCACATTTTGTTTGACAAGTACCTTATTTTAAATACATTTTAAATTTGTATTTTTTTAAAAATATGGATTTCCTCCCTTTGTATCTCTCCAGGACATCATGAAGCCGAGATCTGCTATGGAGGTGAAGCTGACTTACACAAGCACTATACCGGCTGTAAGAAGAATCCAGGTCATGTCAACTTTATACCTGTTAATAATTTTAACTTGGATCATCTCCCCTCACGTTACCGTGAGGTCATCATGTTGGAGCTAATTAAAACTTTGTCTGCCCTAACGGTCCTGATAAAGGTCAAGTACACCAGTCTAGAGAGACCAAAGTCTGTTCCATGCTTCAGTGGTCAGTATCCATTTTATAACACAAGAGGAAGTGACGTGTTGAGGACAGGGACGGGTAGGGTGCATGATGTGGTCAAGTACACAGAGAGTGACAACAAGGGCACTTGTCCATGTGGCAAGTGTCAACACTCGGACACACCCAGCAAAGTGTGGGGGGAGGTTCGTGTGTTGACAGCCACACACGTGGTGTTTGATGAGAGTGAGGCGAGACAGACCAGGTGTGTTGTAGGTTTTGATGACAATAAAAGTCCTGGGGTCAGTCTTTATGGCTGGGGGGTGGGGAGGGCAGACATTGAGGGAGACTGGTGTGAGTTTAAATGTGTGACATGTGACTTAGAGTTGGTTGATGAACTGGACAAGATGTGTCGGCACTTTGATGATCTACGTAGGAAAGTAAGGGGCAAATACGGGAGATTTGATAATGTGGACAAGTTGACCGTTATAGTGTCACATCCTCATGGCTGTCATAAACAGGTCTCTGTAGGACAATGGACACACGAACATGAGAGATGGACAGGTTGGTTGAAGTACACGTACACAACATGTACATGTCCAGGCTCCAGTGGAGCGACTGTCTACATACCGGTATATGTCGGGTGGTTGTCACGTCCCCACAGTGGATCAAACTCTGAAGGAAATTATAGTGGGGAGGGTTGGGTGTGGTGATCTATCTGTAACTGTTGGTTCTCTCCCCTTGTCTAATGTAAACAAACAAAATGGCGGCTCCCTTCATTAAACTTAAATTGTTTGGTTTCTTTCACGTCATTTGTTTAGAGTTGTTAGACACATAAACAAAATTATAAACAAATGTTTACTGTTGAGAAATGAAATGTTTATAGGCTACACTTGTATCTTTGTTTTGTTTAAACCTCCACATTAGGTTTGTCATCGCCACCATTGTCTTTATTTATACTTTAATTCATGTTTGTATTTGTTTACAAACTGTTTGTATTTGTTTGCAAAACTGTTTGTATAGATGTCAATAAAGTTTTAGAAGATTTCAAAGTTTCTTTCATTTATTTTGTTATCGGTGATAATCTTTTTGTTTTGTGTTGATCATTAACAAAACACGATAGTAGTGAAGAGAAATGTCGGCAGTCAAGTTTGTAGCTGAGACTTAATGTCGGCAGTCAAGTTTGTAGTTGAGACTTAATGTCTGCAGTCATGTTTGTAGCTGAGACTTAATGTCGGCAGTCAAGTTTGTAGCTATGACTTAATGTCGGCAGTCAAGTGTGTAGCTGAGACTTAATGTCGGCAGTCAAGTTTGTAGCTGAGACTTAATGTCTGCAGTCATGTTTGTAGCTGAGACTTAATGTCGGCAGTCAAGTTTGTAGCTGAGACTTAATGTCGGCAGTCAAGTTTGTAACTGAGACTTAATGTTTCAGTCAAATTTGTAGTTGAGACTTAATTTCGACAGTCAAGTTTGTAGTTGAGACTTAATGTCGGCAGTTAGGTTTGTCGCTGAGACTTAATGTCGGGAGTAAAGTTTGTAGCTAAGACTTAATGTCGGCAGTCAAGTTTGTAGCTATGACTTAATGCCGGCAGTCAAGTTTGTACCTAACACTTATAGTCGGCAGTCAAGTTTGTAGCTGAGACTTAATGTCGGCAGTCAAGTTTGTAGCTGAGACTTAATGTCGGCAGTCAAGTTTGTAGCTGAGACTTAATGTCGGGAGTAAAGTTTGTAGCTGAGACTTAATGTCGGCAGTCAAGTTTGTACTTAATGTCGGCAGTCAAGTTTGTAGTTGAGACTTAATGTCGGCAGTCAAGTTTGTAGCTGAGACTTAATGTCGACAGTCAAGTTTGTAGCTATGACTTAATGTCGGCAGTCAAGTTTGTAGTTGAGACTTAATGTCGGCAGTCACGTTTGTAGCTGAGACTTAATGTCGGGAGTAAAGTTTGTACCTAAGACTTAATGTCGGGAGTAAAGTTTGTAGCTATGACTTACTGTCGGCAGTCAAGTTTGTAGCTGAGACTTATTGTCGGCAGTCAAGTTTGTAACTGAGACTTATTGTCGGCAGTCAAGTTTGCAGCTGAGACTTATTGTCGGCAGTCAAGTTTGTAGCTGAGACAATTCTATTTCAGTTTATTTTTGTACGCACGGAGTTTGTTGTTTATATGTTATGGCTGATTAGTTGTCTATATGTTATGGCTGATTAGTTGTTTATATGTTATGGCTGATTAGCTGTCTTCTTAGTTTTGTAAAACCTGGACATTGACAAGTAAAATTCAATTCCTTCAGCATTTGTGTGGTAAAAAAAAAATCAAAGTGTAGAAAATTCCCAAAACGCCATATTTCAAATGTTTTATCATCTATTTTAATTCCTGGCCAACTCTAAAATCAATAACAAAATGATTTATTAAATGATTTTATTTAAACGGTATATCTAATACTATCCTTTCTAAAATATTTACTAAATTGAATTTTTTTTTTCGAGTTCACCCCAGCGCCAGGCTTTTAAAATGCAACGATATATTTACAAATCTTGTTCAGCCAGTGCAAACCAGTACAATTGCAAACACAAAATATCAAGTTGTTTAGTTTTGTTATAGATATCATCTTCATCATCGAGGGGGGGGGGTGTGTATAAACAAGGCAACTTATTTCATATCTATATAAACACGCCCCTATTTCAAAGGCAACATTCCGTTAGCCACCTGTTTCAGGATACATTTTCTCTGACATTTATTTATTTATATATCAGTTTGCTAACGTCACTGTCAGTCACTTTATGTGTTTGAAATGTCAATATATCAAAATATGTTTACATGGGCACATGACAAGACGTTTCTGTAGATTTGTTACGGGCGTTGTCGACTGACCCACTACAAGACACCTCTTTGTGTTTTTAGAGTTAAAACAAAGGTGTGTGTCGGAGTAGTCAGTAAATAGCGGTAACGAAACGTGTGTCAATTGAACACACAATTTATGAAGAATTTCATTTGAACGCTGTTGATAAGTTTGGTTCACCCAATTATCTGAAGCTAATTTATTGCTCTAATGAACTCCAGGCAACATTCCTCAGATTATGTTACAAAATGTATTATAAAGATCTACAGCATTAAAATTTGCTTAAAGAAATGCATTAGAAACCAAGAATCTCTCATTCGTTGTTAATATTTTTACTTTTGAAGTGACGCTTTAAATTTTTTGCAGTTTTTTTTTTTATGTATCCATCTAAAAGACAATTTTTTGATAAAGAAAGTAATCAGCAGTTATCTCGCTTTACAATTTAACGCTGTAGGGTAAAGGAGGGCGTTAAGAGCCGTGTGGTATTAAGCCCCAATCAACACCCCACCCCCACAAAACCACCAATAACATTGCTAATCTACTTCTGAGGTAACAACCACTGCTGTTCTTTGATAACAGAGAAGCAGAGGATTTATTTTATGTAATTTATGACCCACTTGGTCCAATAGGGAGAGGATGAGACAGGATTTAATCCCACTGCTCTTTCCCTAAAATTTCTCATCTCCATAAAACCATTTTGTGAACTTTTTTTCCAAATAGACATAACTTGGGAAACTTCACTTTGTAATAAACCAAATGAGTTTTTCAAGTCCATTCATTGTTCCTGTATTAGAGCATTGGTTGTTGTACATTTTAACACTATTTTTATAGCTATGGCTAGAATAGTTTTATTTTGGTGAATTTTTTTTGCACAGTGACTATTGGTGCCAAAACAAAATGGCCGACATTTGTCCCATTTTACCATGCTATAAAGTTTTTATCATTATCAGAGTAAAACTTGACTGATCATTACCATAATGGTTTTATTTGTTAGATAATAACTAAATCTACATGAATACATTAATTTTGTCCACTAGCTTGCCTGTTCAGAAAAGTTATAACAGATACTATAATGTGGCTCTTGAAACCCTATGTGCAAGTTTCTCATTTATTAGACCACTGAATATGACACTGGTATAGGAATAGTTAACACAAAATGTATAAATTGTTAAACAGACTTGTGTCTAAATGATAGAAATACAATTCTAACCTGCTAAAAAGTAAAAATTTAGCCATCTGATGTTAGCCAGGTAATTTTTAAAATGGTACACATACTTATTACCCCTAAGGGGCAATACAGCCGACTCAGCCCCCACCTGTTTCTAACCAACCATAAAACTTCTAATCTCTTTGTAGGTAACAGGAATAAATGTTCTTAGGTCTCAGCCAATCTGGGGTGTTATGTTATGTAATTTATGACCCTCATGGTCCAGCAGGGAAGTAAACAGACACATTAATACCACTGCTCCCCCCTTACAATGTCTTACCCCCATGATACCCAGCCCCCACCAGTTTCTGGCCCACCATAAAACTTCATCTCTTTGTAGGTAACATGGATTACAGTTACAGATCTCAGACAATCTGGGGTGGCATGTTATGTAATATATGACCTTCATGGTCTAGCAGGGTGGAGACCAAAGAGGAATCAGTACCACTGCTCTCCCCTCACAATTTCTCACCTCCATGACAGCCAGACCCCACCTGTATCTAACCCACCATAAAACTTCATCTCTTTGTAGGTAACATGGACTTAGTTCTTAGATCTCAGCCAACCAGAGATAGCATCTCCTTATGTAATTTATGGCCCTCAGGGTCCAGCAAGGAGAAACAAGGGGAAACCAGTACCACTGCTCTCCCCTCACAATTTCTCACCTCCATGATAGCCAGACCCACCTGTATCTAACCCACCATAAAACTTCATCTCTTTGTAGGTAACATGGACTAAGTTCTTAGATCTCAGCCAACCAGAGATAGCATCTCCTTATGTAATTTATGGCCCTCAGGGTGGAGCAAGGAGAACAAAGGGGAAACCAGTACCACTGCTCTCCCCTCAACATTTCTCACCTCCATGTCATGTTATGTAATGTATAGCACACATGGCTTATCAGGGGAAAGCATTAAGGCAGATTAGTTAGTACCACCCCTTTTTACATACAAGAATGTTAACTCTGGACAGCTACACACTAGTATACTAGCTACACGCTAGCCATACTAATGTGCCTACTGTAAACTACTAGACTGTAGGCCCTATGTAGTATGTACACCTGCAATTGTATCAATTGTAGACTGGGCCCATTGGGGCCTAGTGATAGCTAGTATCAGTTAAAGTGTGTGTACACAGCATTAACTATTTTGGGGTTAGAAATTAATTATTTTTATTGCGGAGTTAGTCTAAACTAGGAGATAATACTTATTGCCCCATTGCCCGGCTCCTTTCACCCCAAATGCTGATTTCGGGGGTATGACAATAAATGTTCAATTAAACCCATTTAAAGTATATTTAATAGACTTTGTTATTATTTTTATATTGTGTAAGATATGTTAGAATAATCTTGCCATAATTTCAATACTAAAAAATTCTTAGATTAGAAGAAATCTTTAAAAATGTACAGGTGCTAAAAAGTGTGGCTCTTAACGCCCTCCTTTACCCTACTGCTAATGTTATTCGTGGGTTCATATGGGTACACAGTTTAGGTTTAGGTAGTTAATAGATCTATATATAAACGTTTATAATAAAAAATCTTTTTAAATGAAAGGTAAAAAGGATACAATAAAATGACTATATGAGTTAGAATTTATATAACTACAAATTAAACCTTAGTTCGTTTGTTGTAAACTTTCAAGTAGTCGCTTTTTAAGCCTGTCGGTCAAAGAGAGACAATCAAAATAATTCTTTGATAAAGGAAGTAATCAATAGTTACGTCCCTTTTTATAATTTATTTAAGGACCGATAAAGTACGTTTACACCAGTCCAAAGTTTAGGTTTAAATAAACAAAAAAGAATAAAATAAAATAATTATACGATGTACAGTTATTTAAACTATCAGAAATTTCCATTTAATGTGTAATTAAATAGTGATTAATTAGGATAAAAGTCAACTTCCTCTTGACAAACGCTGATTTCAGATTGTGAAATCATCATTTGTATTTAAGAAGAAATAAATTTTGTTATGTAACGGGAATCCCATGCTTTATAACAGATTTCTTTCCAGGTAGTAAATCTGGTAAGGTATCTTGTATTTCTACATTGCTAAAACAACAGCCAATATATCACATTAGTATCTTTGGTTACTCATTGTAATTTGAAGTTGTTTGCATGTGATTAAAACTGTACTGTTTTGTTTATAATAAGAAACTTTATAAGCACTAACAATAACTTTAAGTTCACCCTGTTATACTAAATATTTTAAAGCTTATCTACTGAATACAATTATATTTAACTTTTATTTGATGTCAACCTTTCTGTAGAACAAAGTTCAACACCTGAGAGTGTTGGTTTCCATTTGTACACAACACACAAAATGTGAAGGCTATAAGAACAGATGGTAACAAACACAATTGTTTAGAAAATTTAAAAAGCCACTGTTTTCATCCAATTGTTTATTAGCTGTAGTTGGACATAATGGCATCACTATGGATGGGTGAAGACAACAGTTATTGACGATGATGAAGGAAGATGATTAGAAGATGATAACGAAGATGATAACGAGGATGATAACGAAGATGATTTTAAGATGATAACGAAGATGATTAGAAGATGATAATGAAGATGATGAGATGATGAAGGAAGATGATCAATTTAACAATGGTCCTAGTCTGGTGACATCACATGTCATGCACTGGTCAACCACATGTCATTCACATGATGTACATGTCAGGTATACTACATTTCATGTACTCAACATAACATGGCATTAACAAGATGTACATTGGATATGTAAAAAAAATTGTGCAGAAGAAAAAATGAACATAACATGATTGGTTGAAAAAATGGACAAGTATACTGACATTTATGTCAATAAGATGGACAAATAGACTAACATTCAATAAGATGTAAATGGATCCTAAACTTTAAATACTTTTAGTTAAAAGTGTTGTAAAATAGATGTTAACCCATGATGGGAGGTAATCTATTTAAGACTAAATAACCAATGATATGACAGTGAATTAAATACGTCAAGTTGCCCTATAATGCCAACAGTTTATTGTCCTTAAGGGATGGACTGAGACAAGGAATCACTCAACAATCAATTTATATTCATCAATAATTCTTTCTGAGATAACTTCTATGTCTGTCTTGTTGGCTATTTCAAAGACAAAATTTGTTTTTAAAATTTCCATATGTGATGTATTGCATATTTACACATTTACAGCAATTAAGCTTTGGAGCCCTTAATTTCTGCTAATGAAATTTATCCTTTTATGATTTAGCAAAAATGTATTTATGCTAAACTAGCAAACATGAAGTAGGAATAGACTGATACATAATATTGTATCATTTTTGTTAAGACATTTTATAAATAAATTTCTAAATAATAATTCTGAATTTTATTCTTTCTAATAGATATAGAATACTTAATTTCAAATCATTACTGTACTAAAATTTAAAAAAAATAATTATAGTTTTTTTAGTGTTAACAATTATGTTGTGTTCTAGGTTTTCATGAATGTACGCGTAACACATAAACTATGTGTGTGACAACCATACACAAAAATTAAGTAACATTTCTCCTGATTGTAACAATCATACACTTACAGTATGTAGCTTTAATTCTTATGATTCTATCAATCATACAAACGAATTTAAGTAACCTTTTTTCTCATGATTGTAAGACACAAATAACTGATGCAACTTTGGGTGTAGAGAGGGAGGTAATGTGGTAGAGTGATGAAGTTTCTACCTGCGAAACTTTTGTTTTATCCAGCAAAACTAGGAGAGATGACGAGCTAATGAAACATGAGCTAATGAGGTACAAGCAGGGTCAAGGGTCATACAGCACAGCTGACAAGTTTGGCAGATATTAAACCTGACAAGTTTGGCAGATGTTAAACCTGACACAGGTGACAAGTTTGGCAGATGTTAAACCTGACAAGTTTGGCAGATGTTAAACCTGACAAGTTTGGCAGATGTTAAACCTGACAAGTTTGGCAGATGTTAAACCTGATAAGTTTGGCAGATGTTAAACCTGACAAGTTTGGCAGATGTTAAACCTGACAAATTGGCAGATGTTAAACCTGACTCAACTGACACGTTTGGATGATGTTAAACCTGACACAGCTGACAAGTTTGGCAGATGTTAAACCTGACAAGTTTGGCAGATGTTTAACTTGGTACAACTTGGACACAACTGTGATGTACAACACTTGACCACAAGGTTTGATATTCATTATTTTGTTGGAGTGTACAAAACCCTGGTTTTAAACAGAAAGAAGAGCAAACAAAGTCAAACAGAAAGAAGAGCAAACAAAGTCAAACAGAAAGATAAGCAAACAAAGTCAAACAGAAAGATAAGCAAACAAAGTCAAACAGAAAGAAGAGCAAACAAAGTCAAACAGAAAGATAAGCAAACAAAGTCAAACAGGAAGATAAGCAAACAAAGTCAAACAGAAAGAAGAGCAAACAAAGTCAAACAGAAAGATAAGCAAACAAAGTCAAACAGAAAGATAAGCAAACAAAGTCAAACAGAAAGATAAGCAAACAAAGTCAAACTGAAAGATAAGCAAACAAAGTCAAACAGAAAGATAAGCAAACAAAGTCAAACAGAAAGATAAGCAAACAAAGTCAAACAGAAAAAAAAATGATCAACCAAATGGAAAATAAAAGTTGTAATGAGCAGACTTTGAATAAATAAGACAATAAATCATTTCTGTTAGCACTGAGATCATTAGGAATGATAAACAAAACATTATTATTAAATAGGCTGTAGGAATTTGTGTGCATGATGAATGGATTTGGTAACATCCAACATGTTATGTCCGATTTAAATTTAAAGTATAGTTTTTTTTAGGAAGTTTTATTCATTACAATTGATGTAAATTTGCATTTAATTAATGAATACAAATTAAATTAGTTATTATTTCAAAATGTTTATACCAAATATAATTAATAAATATCAGTTACCATGCTAATAGAAATTAATTTAGTAGATCATTGATGGAAACCATTTTAAAAACTGGCATGTTTATTTCTGATGCAAAATATTTTAGTATATCATTGATAGGGAAGCTTAATTCTGACACAAAATATTTTACAGTAGCTTTTTTTATAAAATAAGTTTTAAAATGTTAACAAAACTCTAGTTGAAAAATGTTAACAATTGGACACTGTAAAAAGGAATGTATTTTTAGCCTTGTAAACAAATTACTGTAAAATGATATGCAGGTAAAATAAAAGTGCAGCCCTAGAGGAAAAAATATTAACCTCACAATTTACACTTTATTTATTTAAGGAATGTCAATAGCAAAAAAAAAAAAAATATTTTACAGCATTAATTTAAAATCACAAGTTAAAATGTTTCAATTCAAATATTCATTTCCCTAATTATAAATTCCCAATACCATCATTACCACATTTTCATAACCTAAACCAATTTTAAAATCTACTATAATACCAATTCAAATACACACTGAATATCCAAGTACATTAGTGATTTAGGATCAACTATATGCAGGGGCAGATAATTATGGCAAGAAGCTATAAATAGTATCACATTAAAATCAAAGTGATTTTCCCATCCTCCAGTATTGTGTCCTATTTCTAAGTGCATTAAAGAGATACCATTCTATAAACCCTTTCAAATACAACAGAAGTGAGTTCTGTAGACACACACAGGCAAGCTTACAATTCATGCTCTCTAGTTTGTTTATAAACTTTATCTTTAACATTTTTAGAAAAAAGAAGTATGTTTGATACAGCCTGAAGCTAACCAAATATTAAAACATTTTTTCTTGTTATGTATTGACCAAATAGGCATACCAAAAAACCTTTTTTCCCCTCCAAAACAGAGGCAAAAGTTTACAGGCCTTTAATTTTTTAAAAAAAAGGATAATTACAATATTTTATTTATTGAGACTAGTAAATGTGAGTGAGACATGCTGAAACTTTTGAAAACTTTGACCAAGTATCAAATACACAAGTATTTTAATATGATCGAAATTTAGGAAATTACTTGTAGGCATCGATAAAAAAAAATCCTGTTTAATAAAATTTAATTATAATTTATACCAATTTTAATTTACTTTATAGTTTCTACTAAGTTAATGACTGTCTTGGTTGTTTCTTCAAAAAACAAAAAAAAATCAAATTAAATTATATTATGTAGAAATATTTACGAATCAATCCTTAGATTACTATCAGTAAATTGTGTTTGTAACTAGAGAAAATAAATTATCACCAAATGGTTTGTATGTTTAAAAAGATCCCAGCCAATTATATTTTGTCTCTAAACAAACTAAAATTATCAACCAATCAGATTTTTTGGTGAATTGGGTAAATAAAAAAGTATCAGCCAATGACTCAAGGAAACAAGTTTAAAGTTAACTCTTGTATCTATTATAATTTTCTGTTTTAGACGAATGATACATCTATGTGATACCTCCAGGTTTACTTGAAAACATTAAAAAAAATTTTTTTAATCCTGCAATTTTGTAAGTAACAATCTGTCAGAAACAATCAGCATCAGATTGCTAAAAGTCCCTCCCACAAGTCCCACAACTCCATGTAAAACACATGTCATGAGGTTTGAGAGTAAAATAACCAAGTGCTATGACTTGAATGAGAGCAAGTCAAGCCCCACATTTATAGTGAAGAAAACAGTTCAACATGATAAGGGAAAATGTGAATCTCATCTTTAAAACTTTCACAGTTCTAGCTAGAACATCTGTAAGGTTAATTCACATATCTAGCTAGTACATGTATAATGTTAACATTCTATGTTAAACAACTCTCACCACAAATTTAAACTCCAGGAAGTAGAGAACTACACAGCATCAACAGGTCAAATCCTTAGAGTGAAGAATAACACAGAAAAAGTTTAGCTCCAAATATCCAACTTAGCTTCTCCTATATCCACTGAGAATCTGACACATTACCAAATGTTTGTAAAGTATTTTAGACAGGTCACTTACACAATTGGTCAACTGGTCAGTGGCTTTGTCCTGCAGCAAATAATACAACTCAACCATCAGTCTTCTGCTGACCAAAACGTAGGCAAAATCACAACAATCCCAGAACACATTTTGAAATAATTGTAGACATTTGTTCATCCATTATTTCATAACTAACTAGTTGTGTCCTAATATGCGAGCTAGTGACTAGATGTGTGTCCTATGTCAGTTAGGGACTGACACGTGTCCACAATGTGTCCGTTCTCTGTGTGAACCACTGACTCACTGTGTCCTTGCCCACCCAAGTTTGTGTGGTCAGCAACTGACTAGCCCTGACCTTCCTGTACAGCTGTCAGAAAATCCTGTCTATTCTGGCCCTGATCCTAGTCTATCTGAGGTAAATGGTAGAACAAATTTTGTCTTGCTTCTACACAAGGCGAAGATGAATGACTCACTCAGTGTTGAGTGACTGATGGTTCATGTTGGATGACTGATGATGTGAAGCTAGTGACATCAAGATGACTTTGAGAAGATGACTTTGAGAAGATGACTGAAGAACATAGAAGGAGGCTGGCTACCAGTGGGTGCTACTCTCTACAGACCTAGTTTTGTGTATAGCTGATGACACTGTTATATCGGAACACTCGTCCGAACTTGTGTCCGTCTCAGATTTCTGAGGAAAAAAAATAATTTTTATCACTGAGAAACTCATTGTTTGTAGTATTTAAGAGTAGTTTTTTAACAAACTTTATTAACAAAATATTTTGAGTTTAAAAACAAAGTTGAAAACGAATCTACAATAGAACCATTGCCACCTAAATACTACCTGTTTTAGAAATGTAAATATTGGTAATAAAATAATAAGGACATACAACAATTATCACTAATATAATTTAGACAAATTTTAAATATATAATCTAACAAAGGCAAACAGAAATTATCAATTATATCTATGGCTATACACTAATCTCCAACCCACCATCCTATCAGGGGAGTTAACTTTGTTTTTCATCTTCTTGACAGTTTTCTCCCTGTCTGACAGACCATCTGGTATATAGGTCAGTTTGGTCAGCTCCGCTTGCAGATTTTCTGCACTGCCAGTGGACAGCAGACCGTTGTCACCACTGCCATCTTGGTTGCCTGACCTGTCACTGATGTCCTCCTCTGAGAAGACACCTTCAGAGCTCAGGGTGGAGAAGGACTGGCGGCAGGGGGGATGACAAGGTGTCTCGTCATCACTCACCTCCCCTTCCTCTTCTTCAGACCAGGATTCTTCAGAGTGCTAAAGGAGACAAGAAAATATTTATTTTTAAGTTTTATAATTTAAGGGGATAGGCTCCGGAAAAAAACTGGAAAAAAACATAAATATGAGGCATTAAAGGGGAAATATTTTCTTGCCTTAGGGACTTTTCTGAAAATATGGTTGCCATGGCAATGGCAGCCATCTTGAAAAAATAACTTTTTGTGGAGTTCTAAAATTTCATTAACTAACATATATATTGGCCCTTCTGTTACTAACACTAATAGAGTCAGCTGGCTAGTATTTTTTAACAGAAAAACCGCTACAAATATTTTTTTCCTCAAATTTTCAATTATTTTTTTTTTGTGAAATACTGTTAAATTTAGCATTGCTTTTAAAGATTTTTTACAATACCATATTTTAAAAATTCAAAAAAAAAATAAAAATGTCTAGAGTGTTTTCTTGAGCCTATACCCTTAAACCAAAATTAATTATTTTAAAAGTGATCTATTATTAGTTATTATTAATCAACAACCATATAATAATAATAATACAAATACATAACATTAATAAAAGTTGATTGGTAGTTTTCTTCTATTTTATAACAGACATTATTTTTCTTAGCTGGAGCCAAAAATGTTGCAACACTAGCAAATATCATGACTTACTACACACACAATTTAATAAGTAAAAAAAATTTTTTAATGGATTTTCTAATAGTTTGCAATTAATTTTTTTAGTGTTTGATCAAAACGAAAATATATATAGAAAAAAACTACTTACTTTTCCAATACTTTTAAACATAACATTAAATACATTTTCGGTAGCATTTGTAACCATTAAAAAAATGTATAAGGGGAGAGTTAGATTAAAATATGCTCAGGATAATTATAGTTATATTTATTTTCTGTCATTTTGTCATGGTTAAAAATACCAGTCTTTTAACTATTATTTTATTACTAATGATAATAATACAGTATTTTTACCATAAACTTTATTAAGCCTGAAAAAAAAATAATTCCAAAACTGTTTGTAGAAAATATAATTAATAATCAGCTGAGGAGAGTGATTAATAGTAAACAACCACAAATAGGTAACTTCACCTAATTTAGTTAATTCGATAAACTATTTTAATTATTTTTTAATAAAAATAGCTGATCATAATTTAAAAAATGAAAAAGAAAACATGAAATTAAAAAATAAATAAAACAAAATCGTAAAAACTTTGATGGACTGACCTTGGTGTTTCTGAATCTAACAGAGGAGTTGTTTGCCTCCCTTTTCTGCAGGACACCGTCCACATTTTGTCCAGCTCTCTCCGTCCCCGCCTGGCTGTCCTCGTACCTGTCCTGACACCTGCCAGAGTTCTCAAAGATGTCAGAGCTTCTCCTCCGGCAGGACGGGCTCCTGTGTCTCCTGCTCATATCCTGGCTGCTGTGAACCCGTTTGACCCCCGACCCCTGCGAGGTCATAAGTACAAGATGGTGGTTGGTGGAGTTTGTGAGAGTCTGTTGTGTGAGACTGGTGTTGATGGTGTCACAGTCGGTGTGTGACGTCGTCGTTTGGATGACGCCCGAGTTCAACTGTGAGCTGACAGAGTTCGTGCTGCTCTCCGGGAAATTTAAATTTTCATTCGAGTCTTTTTCTCGGACTGTGTACGTCTGGGGTTGAAGGTCAGCTGGGGATGCCATGGGCGAGCATGAACATGACCCTGAGCCGGTTTCATGACGAGACGAGTCAACATCCGGAGATGATTTCTCGCTCATTGTTTCAAGCGGTTGGTGTTTGGGGCTAGACAGGGGAGATAAATCACAGGTGCTCTCAACATCGGCGCTGACCTGGGACGACCTTTTGCTGCTGCACGTGGCGTCACTACACCCGCCGTCGCAGCCAAAGTTTTTTGATGTTGTTCTCCATGTGAGAGATCCTCATCTCACAGCCGTCCACCTCGTCCTCGCTCCTGTACTCCCTGATGGCTGTCCCCGGCCCCAGGTACTTGAAAGTACCGGGGAACTGCGGGTGCTCTATGTGGTGTAGGCCAGCAGGGTTCAGGGCTTCAGCATTTCTGGCTTCGTGGTCCCGCGAGGGGGACTTGATGGGGGAGGCAATGTCCTTCATAGAGCCTCGGCTGTTATTGCGACGATGTCGAGACTTGCGCGTCCTCATCTTGGTGGGTGAGGGTAGAACCAGCTCCGAGCTTGTTGTCATGCTGCCTTCTGTGTTTTTCATGGAGTCGGGTCTGTGGGCACAAGGTAACAATCTTACAGAAACTTTCTAAACATTTATTTATAAGATTATTAGCTTTATTATTTGACAAGAGCCAATATTTCCAATATGTAACAGACAATTTATGTTTGTTGGGGAATCTTAAACAAAAAAACTTACGTTGTGACCTCTGAACCTGATCTATGAATACGTTTTTTTGCCGAGCCTATCCAATTTCTCCTGGGCTTTGATGATTGGTCGAACTATGCTTTTCCTGCGTTTATTGTACAATGTAAGCTGCTGCTCTCTTCTACAAAAGAAAACAAAAAATTATTTAATATTAAATTCTTTTTGCATGAGGAGTACTGACAATTTGTGGGTAACTTACTAACATAATTTATAAGGTAATTCAAACGAGGCAAAAGTTAGGACTTATCAAAGAGATTTTTCAGTTTGGTATGTACTATACTTAAACACTTAACAAAGAAAAAAAGATTATAAAAAAGAAAGTGAGTTTAATGTATAGTTTTTTAAATAATTAAAAATAATTTTGACTTTTGTATTTATTTATTTATTTTAGATCCCTTAAGTTTCAACAGATTTAGAAACATTCATCAAACATATTCTACAGAGAAGGTCAAACTTATCCCAGAAAAATGTACTAATCAAACATATCCCAGAAAAATATACTTATCAAACATATCCCAGAAAAATATACTAATCAAACATATCCCAGAAAGATATACTAATCAAATATATCCCAGAAAAATATATCAATCTAATATATCCCACAACAATCCAACAAATCCCACCAACACCCAACAAATCCCACCAACAAATCCAACCAACACATCCCACCAACAAATCCAACCAACACCCAACATATCCCACCAACAAATCCAACTAACACCCAACATATCGCACCAACAAATCCCACCAACAAATCCCACCAACACCCAACATATCCCACCAACAAATCCCACCAACTTATCCCACCAACAAATCCCACCAACACCCAACAAATCCCGCCAACAAATCCCACCAAAAATCCCACCAAAAATCCCACCAACATATCCCACCAACATATCCCACCAAAAGAGACAAAACCTACTTGATGAGTTCCCTCTCCCTTTTCTCCAGCTGCAGCATGCAGGCTGTCAGCTCCATGTACAGGTTGTTGGCACGCTCAAGTTTCCTCTCGTAGTGCTCACGTACATCCTGCGCATGCCTAGACAAACATGAGAGAGTCGATTAGCATAACAATATATTATATGGGTCATAGGTAGGGGTTGATTAGTACTACTAACTAGGCTAAATGTGGGTTAATTAGAACCTGGTTATGTGTGGAGGGTAATAAGTATAGGTTTTATTAATGGGTTAATTAACATCAAGTTTTTAAAAAAGTCAATTAAGTGTGGCACCTCACGCGTGGAGTGAGGTTGCTTGGGCAACTTGGCTGGGTGTTTTGTCGTATATAAATTGTTTTGTATATATTGTTTTGTACGTAATGTCCTCTACGTAATGTATTGTACGTAGTGGTTGTACGTTGTGTTTTGTTTGGTGTGGACTTTTGGATGTCGAGAATGGATGAAGGGAGGTTTCTGTGTGTCAGGGCCTGGACCATCCTAGACATCATAAGTCGGCGCAACACCATCAAATGGTCAAACGTAATGTTTTGTGTGGTGTAAAAAGTTTGTTTTGTTACGTTAAAGTTCTGTTTTGTTAATCTGTTTTTTTATTTATATAATTTTGGTTCCATGAAATAAATTTTATTAACTGTTAAAGTTTTTGTCTTATTTTAGTATTTTATTTAGACTAAGGATAAGATATAACCACCGTGGGTTTCACCACGGTTGCACTGACCCGGACAGTTAGATAGATTTTAAGGTATCCCCCCCCCCCCCTAGCAGGGCTTACAAATTGGTAGCACGAGTGGGTCAGTGCTTTAGTCTAGTTAAATTTTTGTTTTGATAGGGCTAGGATTAGCTTAGATACATTTTTTTCTTGATAGGCCCTTTTTGGAACCATATGTGTGTAGATTGTGTGTAGTGTAGGGATTGTTTGTTGTTTAAACACCCAGTCAGGTTGGCGGAGAGACGTGCCTCGGCGAGCCTTCAGTGTGCGTGGCTGGACAAGGCACGGTGTGTGGCGCTGGACCTGGCGTGTGATGAAGATGGCGGCCTCGTGTGGTCTAGACTGGACAACACACACGGGCGTGGCACGGATCTGGTGTGTACGGCAGACCGGTGAACAACGAACGGCTTATGGCGTCATCTCTTGACCCACAAAGAGGGCTACCTGGACACCGCACCGCAGGTGTGTCTATACCAAGGCACTATCATGGGGCGTGGAACAGACTGAGAGCCAGTGGTGCAAGGTGGTTGCGTCAGCTCTTGACCCACTAAGAGGGCTAACTGGACACCCGCCCCGCAGGTGTGTCGAGGCGGACACATGGTTTGGAGGCGGGCAACAGCACGAGAGCCAGTGGAGCAAGACGGTTGCGTCATATCTGAACCAACTAAGCGGACGTTTTACCGGTGGTCTTACGCTGAAGCCAGAACCAGAACACGCAGGTGGACGGGATGGACAGGCAACGTGTGCCATTAGTAGCGGGCGGGTCTAGACTGACCCTCCCCCCCTTGTCCTTCCGGATGAACGACCGACAGGACTAGTAGCGCGGATCAGCCCTCAGTGAAGGGAACACTATCTTGGTGCCTTGAGTTTTTTTAGGGAGCACAGACGCAAGATTAATGTTAATGGAAATTGTTTTTTTCTTGCATTCAAGCTTATAGGCTTGAAAATCTACCCTACCCTTCCCTAGGCTTATCTACTTAACTACTGTCCGGTCAGTGCAACCGTGGTAGAACCCACAGTGGTTAAACCCTAACCTTAGTCTAAATAATAAGCTACTAAAATAAAACAAAAACTTTTACAGTTAATAAAATTTATTTATCAAGAATGACTAGTATAAAATTTATTCAACAAAATATGGAACCAAAAGTTATAAAAAAAGAACAGATAAAAACTGACAAAACAGAACCAAACGAAACAAACTTTTTACATCAAACAAAACACCCAATTTCGGACTTCGTCCTAGAAAAAGGAAAACAAATAAATTAATTACTTTACAAAGAAAAGTTATATACAAAGCAGTAAGCTGACACAATTGTCAGCCTAAACAAGAGGCTCTCATAAATGAAAGTAAAATCTACAATAATCCATGACTAAACCCAGGCCATCGTGCTACCACGTGGTCTGGATAAAACGAACCTAGAAACTTCTCAAAGTCAAGACTAAATAGATCTAGTATATAGTCACTTTGTATACAAAATAAGCACACAAAAATATGGAAAACATAATAAAACACTATAAAAATAACCCTACGTTACCATACACCACATAAACGTGACACAGAAACTCTTCAACACACAGGCCTCGACATTCCAGCAGAATGTCCCTCCATGTCGACACACCACATTCACGAACAAAGAAACCAATCTACGAACAAAGAAACCAATGCTACGCACAAGAAAATAGTCCCTAATACAATAATCAGTAACTTACATTCAGGATATAAAGCAAAGTGGAGCCACACTCCAAAACAAAGTTTGCATAAATAATAACATCAAAATATAAGCAAGACACAATAACCAGGCTATCAATCATTTTAAAATAAAAATCATATCAGCGCCATAATAGCGGACTACTTAACTAAAAACCACAACAATCCTCAAAGGAACATAAAAAGCGACATTCGCCTTCTTAGTTACAAATAATTATAATAACAGATAAACACACTCCAGCCGCTCACATGTAAGAGATGGGTGCATGTTTTATTTTAAGATTGTTATATGCATTTTTTGTCTTACAGGGACTGTAAGATTTTAAAAAGGGGTGAATGTGTGCGGGTGGATGGATTATTTTGTATTATTTTATTTGGTGCGAATCTGAGTGCATGGTGGTCCAATGGGGAACGGCCACGGGGTCCCCTTCCGCTCGAAGCGGTCAGTATAAATTGACCGCTCGGACGATTTTCTTCCTTTTTTTGACCCGAGGCGAGATGTAGGTCGGGTGTGGGCGCGTGGCGCACCTCACGCGTGGAGGTATTTGTTTTTTTACTTTATCTTTATGTGGTTTGTATGAATGCGACTGCCGATGTTTCTCGTTTTCTTTCATTTTCGTCTAAAACGAGATAGTGAGCATCGGCATGTCTGGTATGCACGTGGTATGTTATTTTGTTATTTTTTTAAAATGTATTATTGTGTTTTCTAAACCCGTGGCGTGTGTTTCGGACCACGTGGTTTAGGTCAGTGTGTTTAGGAATGTTTCCTAAACTGGTGTGAATGCGTGTGTGCATTTACTTGATTGTTTTATGATGTGTTATTGACTAGGATTGGCTTAGTCAATAGTCAGTTGTTTTAGACAGTAATTAGATTAGTATATTTTAGTTGCCTCGAGTTTTAGGTTGTTTAAAATTAATGTGTGTGCTGTTTCGTGCAACGTCATGTTGAGTATCGCTTGCTTTGTGTCTGCCTTCATTGGGGCCTTAGCGGAGTGTGTTAACTTTAATGTTATCAATATGGATATTGTTTATGTAGACCAATGGCTTCGGGCTGCTCCTTGTGTAGGAAAGATTGGTTCTACAATGAATTTGTTTACACGTTATTTTTAAGTTGCTAGTTCTTCTTTAGACAGTGGTTAGTTGTTTTTAAGAATTGCTTTTAGAATTGTATAGTAAGGATTAGTTTACTCGAGGATTTAGCTAGATAGTAGTAGTAGGTAGCATTTTGAACTTGTGTATATATTTATGTATATATCTGCCATTACCATGCATTTTTCTTATGTTTTCCTTTTCTTTTTCTCTCCCCCCCCCCCTTCCAGTGAGGTTGCTTGTGCAACTTGGCTGGGTGTTTTGTTATATATGAATTGTTTTGTTTGATGTAAAAAGTTTGTTGTGTACGTATTGTTTTCTACGTAATGTGTTGTACGTAAGGTATTGTACGTAGTGGTTTTACGTAGTGTTTTGTTTGGTGTGGACTTTTGGATGTCGAGAATGGATGAAGGGAGGTTTCTGTGTGTCAGGGCCTGGACCATCCTAGACATCATAAGTCGGTGCAGCACCATCAAATAGTCGAACGTAGTGTTTTGTTTCGTTGAGTTCTGTTTGTTTTGTATGTCTTGAGTGTTTTATTTTATCTAGATAGATTCTAGTTTTTTTTATAATAACTTTTGGTTCCATGAAATAAATTTTATTAAATTGTTAAAAGTATTTTTGTTTTTAATTTAGACTAAGGTTAGGTTATTAACCAGTCTGGGTTACCGGACTTGCACTGACCGGACAGTAGTTAGTTAGATAAGCCTAGAAGGGTAGATTTTTAGTTATCCCCCCCCCCTAGCAGTGCTTACATAAGATCAGATCACTCTCTTAAGCGATAATTAAAGTTGGACATAAACGTTTCAGGTAACGTTGCAGCAATAATGTTATCACACTACTCCAGTTAATGGCTCATAACTATAAACCAAGGGAGAGAACAATTGTTTACCGTAACTCCTCCTTCCTCCTTTTGATCAGTTCCTCCTCCAACTGTGGCAGGTTTGAACCTTCAGCCTTCATTTTCTGGAAGTTTTCTCGGATTTCTGTCCTCCATATAGACTGTTAGGAAATAAATCAATCAAGAGATGACTAGGATGAATCACATGATATAAAACAATAGCAAGCATTTTGAAACAGATGAAGTAGAAAATCCACATTATTACAGCTAACAAATTCATCTATAAAGGTCCTGCTTTGATGTACCCAAAATAAGATTATCAAAAAACAAAAAAAATCCAACAAAATTATGACCAACTAAAGTTGTGACCAGCTAAAATATTGACCAGCTAAAATATTGACCAGCCCAAACATTGACCAGCTCAAATATTGACCAGCCGAAATATTGACCAGCCCAAATATTGACCAGCTCAAATATTGACCAGCCCAAATATTGACCAGCTTAAATATTTACCAGCCCAAATATTGACCAGCCCAAACATTGACCAGCCCAAATATTGACCAGCCCAAATATTGACCAGCCCAAATATTGACCAACTCAAATATTGACCATCTCAAACATTGACCTGTGAATCAGCAAACTCCTCCCTGGAGTAGCTCAGCAGTTCTGACGAGGCAATCTCCAGGTGCATCAAAATCTGCCGGAAGGATGGCCTGTTCCTAGGCTTGGCGCTCCTGCAGGTGAAGTAGATCTGATTAATATCTAACCATACACACATGGGTGGGTGATGAATACCAAATTAAGTAAATATAATCCAAGGTGGCCGCCATTAACATGGCAAAGGCAGAAAATATTTAGCCATTTTTTAATTTTTAGTTTTAACTCTTTAAGTTACAACTATATGGTAAATATGATAGCATTAGGTTTAGAAATAAGCAATAGGCTGATTTGGTTTTCATCACCCGCCATGCCCTTAAACTAAATCAAACTAAAGCAAAGAACTTAGAACAGGAATTACAGTTACAAGTAATTGATGTAACAAAGAGTTATAGCTTAACCAACTTATTTAGCCTGCAATTAATGTAGCAAAAATTATAGCAAGACCAACTGATGCATCAAACAACAGATGTAGCAATGAGCTGAACTGACCAGCACTGCCTCATGAGCAGCTTGAAACCCTCTGGGCAGGTGCTGGGCACGGGCAGATGGAGACAGTTGCTGCCCACTCCCCAAATGATGGCAGATGAGTTCACATCCGTATAGGGCACTTCAGCAGTCAGCAGCTCCCATAATACAACACCATAAGACCTACATACAACATAATCAACTGATTAACATTTTGAAATTTTGTCCTGGAAATAATCATATTTTTTTCATAATTGCATATCTTTGCACAGCATATCTTTTAAGATATATTGATAATGATTATCTGAATAAGCAATAGCTGATGTGCATAATCTGCTAAAATGGCAGAATTGTCTAATTGAAAAAAAAGTTTAAGTGACGTAAGAAAATTGTGTAGAATTACCAAATGTCCACTTTCTCGCTGCACATTTCGCTGCGTATGACCTCCGGGGCCATCCATGCCACTGTGCCAGCAAATGACATCTTTGTGCTCTTCTCATTCCATTCACGACTTGTGCCAAAATCAGAGATTTTTACAATGTCGTTGGAAGCCACTAGCACGCTGTGTGGGGATGACAAGAGGAAATTGGTAAGTCATTATACACTGCTAGATAACTTATACAACTCTTACCACTAGTAATAGACTGTAATCATTGTAAAATACCACTATATTGATATGTAGAAATGGATTCAAACCTTAAATTATCATTTCGGCAAGATTTAAAATACAGGTAGTTAAATCTAAATATGTCAATCTTAAAAATAGAAATTATTTTAAAATTTATTTTGATAATTTATTAAAAAACAAAAAATTTTCATAAAATTCCAAAAACTGAAGAGGTTAGCTAAAGAACTTACGTGGGTGTCAGCAGGTAAGGTTGTACTTAATGTCGGCAGTCAAGTTTGTACTTAATGTCGGCAGTCAAGTTTGTACTTAATGTCGGCAGTCAAGTTTGTAGCTGAGACTTAATGTCGGCAGTCAAGTTTGTACTTAATGTCGGCAGTCAAGTTTGTACTTAATGTCGGCAGTCAAGTTTGTAGCTGAGACTTAATGTCGGCAGTCAAGTTTGTACTTAATGTCGGCAGTCAAGTTTGTAGCTGAGACTTAATGTCGGCAGTCAAGTTTGTAGCTGAGACTTAATGTCGGTAGTCAAGTTTGTTCTTAATGTCAGCAGGTAAGGTTGTACTTAATGTCGGAAGTCAAGTTTGTAACTGTGACTTAATGTCGGCAGTCAAGTTTGTAGCTGAGACTTATTGTCGGCAGTCATGTTTGTAGCTGAGATATAATGTCGGCAGTCAAGTTTGTACTTAATGTCGGCAGTCAAGTTGGTACTTAATGTCGGCAGTCAAGTTTGTAGCTGAGACTTAATGTCGGCAGTCAAGTTTGTACTTAATGTCGGCAGTCAAGTTTGTACTTAATGTCGGCAGTCAAGTTTGTAGCTGAGACTTAATGTCGGCAGTCAAGTTTGTACTAAATGTCGGCAGTCAAGTATGTACGTAAGGTCGGCAGTCAAGTTTGTACTTAATGTCGGCAGTCAAAATTGTACTTAATGTCGGCAGTCAAGTTTGTACTTAATGTCGGCAGTCAAGTTTGTACTTAATGTCGGCAGTCAAGTTTGTAACTGAGACTTAATGTCGGCAATCAAGGTTGTAGCTGAGATATAATGTAGGCAGTCAAGTTTGTAGCTGAGACTTATTGTCGGCAGTCAAGTTTGTACTTGATGTCGGCAGTCAAGTTTGCACTTAATGTCGGCAGTCATGTTTGTTGCTGATACTTATTGTCCTCAGTCAAGTTTGTACTTAATGTCGGCAGTCAAGTTTGTACTTAATGTCGGCAGTCAAGTTTGTAGCTGAGACTTATTGTCGGCAGTCAAGTTTGTACGTAATGTCGGCAGTCAAGTTTGTACTTTATGGCAGCAGGTAAGGTTGTACTTAATGTCGGCAGTCAAGTTTGTTCTTAATGTCGGCAGTCAAGTTTGTACTTAATGTCGGCAGTCAAGTTTGTAGCTGAGACTTAATGTCGGCAGTCAAGTTTGTACTAAATGTCGGCAGTCAAGTTTGTAGCTGAGACTTAATATCGGCAGTCAAGTTTGTAGCTGAGATATAACGTCGGCAGTTTGTACTTAATGTCGGTAGTCAAGTTTGTAACTGAGACTTAATGTCGGCAGTCAAGTTTGTAGCTAAGATATAATGTAGGCAGTCAAGTTTGTAGCTGAGACTTATTGTCGGCAGTCAAGTTTGTACTTGATGTCGGTAGTCAAGTTTGTACTTAATGTCGGCAGTCAAGTTTGTAGTTGAGAGTTAATGTCGGCAGTCTAAATTGTAGCTGAGATATAATGTAGGCAGTCAAGTTTGTAGCTGAGACTTATTGTCGGCAGTCAAGTTTGTACTTGATGTCAGTAGTCAAGTTTGTACTAAATGTCGGCAGTCAAGTATGTACGTAATGTCGGCAGTCAAGTTTGTAGCTGAGACTTAATGTCGGCGGTCAAGTTTGTACTTAATGTCGGAAGTCAAGTTTGTACTTAATGTCTGCAGTCAAGTTTGTAGCTGAGACTTAATGTCGGCAGTCAAGTTTGTACTTAATGTCGGCAGTCAAGTTTGTATTTAATGTCGGCAGTCAAGTTTGTAACTGAGACTTAATGTCGGCAGTCAAGTTTGTACTTAATGTCGACAGTCAAGTTTGCACTTAATGTCTGCAGTCAAGTTTGTACTTAATGTCGGCAGTCAAGTTTGTACTTAATGTCGGCAGTCAAGTTTGTACTTAATGTCGGCAGTCAAGTTTGTACTTAATGTCGGCAGTCAAGTTTGTACTTAATGTCGGCAGTCAAGTTTGTAGCTGAGATTTATTGTCGGCAGTCAAGTTTGTAGCGTAGATATAATGTCGTCAGTCAAGTTTGTAGCTGAGACTTAATGTCGGCAGTCAAGTTTGTACGTAATTTCGGCAGTCAAGTTTGTACTTAATGTCGGCAGTCAAGTTTGTAGCTGAGACTTAATGTCGGCAGTCAAGTTTGTAGCTGAGATATAATGTTGGCAGTCAAGTTTGTAGCTGAGACTAAATGTCGGCAGTCAAGTTTGTACGTAATGTCGGCAGTCAAGTTTGTACTTAATATCGGCAGTCAAATTTGTAGCTGAGACTTAATGTCGGCAGTCAAGTTTGTACTAAATGTCGGCAGTCAAGTTTGCACTTAATGTCGGCAGTCAAGTTTGTAGCTGAGACTTAATGTCGGCAGTCAAGTTTGTACTTAATGTCGGCAGTCAAGTTTGTACTTAATGTCGGCAGTCAAGTTTGTAGCTGAGACTTAATGTCGGCAGTCAAGTTTGTACTTAATGTCGGCAGTCAAGTTTGTACTTAATGTCGGCAGTCAAGTTTGTACTTAATGTCGGCAGTCAAGTTTGTACTTAATGTCGACAGTCAAGTTTGTACTTAATGTCGGCAGTCAAGTTTGTACTTAATGTCGGCAGTCAAGTTTGTACTTAATGTCGGCAGTCAAGTTTGTACTTAATGTCGGCAGTCAAGTTTGTACTTAATGTCGGCAGTCAAGTTTGTACTTAATGTCGGCAGTCAAGTTTGTACTTAATGTCGGCAGTCAAGTTTGTAGCTGAGACTTAATGTCGGCAGTCAAGTTTGTAGCTAAGACTTAATGTCGGCAGTCAAGTTTGTAGCTGAGACTTAATGTCGGCAGTCAAGTTTGTACTAAATGTCGGCAGTCAAGTTTGTAGCTGAGACTTAATATCGGCAGTCAAGTTTGTAGCTGAGATATAACGTCGGCAGTTTGTACTTAATGTCGGCAGTCAAGTTTGTAACTGAGACTTAATGTCGGCAGTCAAGTTTGTAGCTAAGATATAATGTAGGCAGTCAAGTTTGTAACTGAGACTTAATGTCGGCAGTCAAGTTTGTACTTAATGTCGGCAGTCAAGTTTGCACTTAATGTCTGCAGTCAAGTTTGTACTTAATGTCGGCAGTCAAGTTTGTACTTAATGTCGGCAGTCAAGTTTGTACTTAATGTCGGCAGTCAAGTTTGTACTTAATGTCGGCAGTCAAGTTTGTACTTAATGTCGGCAGTCAAGTTTGTAGCTGAGATTTATTGTCGGCAGTCAAGTTTGTAGCGTAGATATAATGTCGGCAGTCAAGTTTGTAGCTGAGACTTAATGTCGGCAGTCAAGTTTGTACGTAATTTCGGCAGTCAAGTTTGTACTTAATGTCGGCAGTCAAGTTTGTAGCTGAGACTTAATGTCGGCAGTCAAGTTTGTACTTAATGTCGGCAGTCAAGTTTGTACTTAATGTCGGCAGTCAAGTTTGTACTTAATGTCGGCAGTCAAGTTTGTAGCTGAGACTTAATGTCGGCAGTCAAGTTTGTAGCTAAAAATTAATGTCGGCAGTCAAGTTTGTAGCTGAGACTTAATGTCGGCAGTCAAGTTTGTAGCTGAGACTTAATGTCGGCAGTCAAGTTTGTAGCTGAGACTTAATGTCGGCAGTCAAGTTTGTAGCTGAGACTTAATGTCGGCAGTCAATTTTGTAGCTGAGACTTAATGTCGGCAGTCAAGTTTGTAGCTGAGACTTTTTGTCGGCAGTCATGTTTGTAGCTGAGATATTATGTCGGCAGTCAAGTTTGTACTTAATGTCGGCAGTCAAGTTGGTACTTAATGTCGGCAGTCAAGTTTGTAGCTGAGACTTAATGTCGGCAGTCAAGTTTGTACTTAATGTCGGCAGTCAAGTTTGTACTTAATGTCGGCAGTCAAGTTTGTAGCTGAGACTTAATGTCGGCAGTCAAGTTTGTACTAAATGTCGGCAGTCAAGTATGTACGTAAGGTCGGCAGTCAAGTTTGTACTTAATGTCGGCAGTCAAAATTGTACTTAATGTCGGCAGTCAAGTTTGCACTTAATGTCGGCAGTCAAGTTTGTACTTAATGTCGGCAGTCAAGTTTGTAACTGAGACTTAATGTCGGCAATCAAGGTTGTAGCTGAGATATAATGTAGGCAGTCAAGTTTGTAGCTGAGACTTAATGTCGGCAGTCAAGTTTGTACTTGATGTCGGCAGTCAAGTTTGCACTTAATGTCGGCAGTCATGTTTGTTGCTGAGACTTAATGTCGGCAGTCAAGTTTGTACTTAATGTCGGCAGTCAAGATTGTACTTAATGTCGGCAGTCAAGTTTGTAGCTGAGACTTATTGTCGGCAGTCAAGTTTGTACGTAATGTCGGCAGTCAAGTTTGTACTTTATGTCAGCAGGTAAGGTTGTACTTACTGTCGGCAGTCAAGTTTGTACTTAATGTCGGCAGTCAAGTTTGTACTTAATGTCGGCAGTCAAGTTAGTAGCTGAGACTTAATGTCGGCAGTCAAGTTTGTACTAAATGTCGGCAGTCAAGTTTGTAGCTGAGACTTAATATCGGCAGTCAAGTTTGTAGCTGAGATATAACGTCGGCAGTCAAGTTTGTACTTAATGTCGGCAGTCAAGTTTGTAACTGAGACTTAATGTCGGCAGTCAAGTTTGTAGCTAAGATATAATGTAGGCTGTCAAGTTTGTAGCTGAGACTTATTGTCGGCAGTCAAGTTTGTACTTGAT